AAAGTTGGGTTGATGGACGATTAGCATTTGGATATCCACGTGATAATACACCGGATTTTGTTATCCTTACAGCCGGACAACAAATTTGGATGCCTGATTCATTTTTTCAGGTTATATTACAAATCAAATTTCATTTTAATAATTTTAATTGAGAAAGAAAATAAACAAATCGTTCATTACTGAATTTTACCCTATTATCAATTACTTAAACAATTATTGCTTCGAAATATTATTAATTACTAAAACAATTATTGCTTCGAAATACTAAAACAATTATTGCTTTGTAATAGAATTGCTAACTCTCATATGATGATAATTCTTATAATTAACTCTCATATAATGATAACCATTATAATTAACTCTCATATAATGATAACTCTTATAGTGATAACTCTTATAATTTACTTATTTAATGACAGCATTTGAAATGATATTGAAAATTGCAACTAAATTTTGCTATGAATTAAAATTCGCAATTTTCTGCATTTGCTTTTATTCAAATTAAAAAGGAGATAAATGAATTTACCATTTAGAATGAAAAACATGCTCAACGACATATGATCGATAAGCCGAATATTCTAATTCGTGTACATAAAGATGGTACCATATTGTATAGTGTTAGGATATCACTTGTGTTATCATGCCCAATGCATTTACAGGTTCATTTCAAAAATTATGCACGTAGTAAATTTGATAGTTGTTTTTTTTCAAAGATATATTTTGAATATTATTTAATCATCGCTTTGCTTATTTATTTCCAATTTAATTAATTGATTTTAAGTAAGTGATTTCAATTTCTTCTAAATTCAGTTCAATTGTTTTATTTTGCCTTTTGTTTTTTAAAATTGTAGCAATATATTAATTGCAGTTAATTATGGAAAAAAGCAAAAACAATCAAAAGTTTGAAAGAATATAAAAAAATTCAAAGATTAGCAATTTAAAGACTGAGAAAATTTTCAAATATGCAGTGTTTGATGTATTTGTTTAGGACAAAAATTCGGATCCGGTTTTGCACTGATAATGTATCATTAACTGAAAATGTATCGTTTGGATATCCAAACGTATCTTATTGATACAAAATCATTCTTAGTAATATTGACAATAATAATGATAATAATTACAATATTATTCAATAGATATGCAAACGTAACTTATTGATGCAGAATATTAACAATAATAATGACAATAATAATTACAATATTATTCATTAGATAGCTAAACGTACCTTATTGATACGGAATTATTCTTAGTAATATTGACAATAATAATGATAATAATAATTACAGTATTATCCAATGGATATCCAAACGTGCCTTATTGATCTTGCCTCTTATGCGTATACAACAGATGATATTGGTATGATATATTAACTCCAAAATTTAATAATGAAATAATTTTAATTAAAGTAAAATAAATTTTTTACAGATTGTAGCCACCTTTTTATTGATAATAAACATTATAATTTACTTAAATACTTTTTGCAAAATAAAATACACTTTTTTTTTAAAGCGTTTTCAGTATTTAATTTAATATCTTCATCATAATAAATAGTTAAGTTTAATTAATAATTATAAGAAAATTAATTTCAATAATAAAGTACAGTTGTACAAATAGTGCACTTTATACTTCATGAACTAATGAAAGATATACATATATGCATACTAAACAATTAGATTAACTTACATTGTTTTATAATTGCTAATTAGAAATTTATAATTGCAAATAATTAGAACAATAAAATAATACGAATATTTTATGATTCCTAATTTTATTCATCAACAATATAAATAATATAACGGTATAAAAAAAAAATGAATATTTCATTATTTAAATTTCAACATTCAAAAATATTCAAACTATTGATTAAAAATTAAAATTAAAATTATTTAATTATTTTGTTTTCTCAGAATACGTTTGGAAGAGTAAGGATCCGGTTCAATTAAAAGAAGGTTTACATTCATCTTTACCAAGTTTTCAACTTAGCAACGTAACGACAACATTTTGTACAAGTAAAACTAACACTGGCACGTATTCATGTTTACGTACAGTATTAGAACTAAAACGACAATTCAGGTTAATTACAATAAATTTTAATTTTGAATTTTAAGAAAAAGGAAAATTTCATATTATTACATGGTTCTATTTAGAAAAACAATGCTAATTCTGTTTGATTATTTTTTTCCTTTTAAGTTTAATTGTTTGCTTTTTCTTTGTTTTAACTTAACTAAACTTTCTAATTTAATTTTGTTTGTCTTTAAATTTAATTTAAATTAAAAGAATTAAATAGTTTTATGATAGTTTAATTTGCAAACTTTGATATTTTTTAAGAAACTGCTCTTAATAATAGCAAAAATTAAGATCGTTTGAATTTTTGATTAATTCAATTTTAGGTTGCGAAGAAATAAAAAGATGCTACTTTGTGAAGTATTTCCTTTTCCTATAGATAAGTAAAATTAAGAATTGATAATTTCAATTTAAACTTAATGTTTTATGCATATAAAGAACATCCGTCGTATTGAAAATTATTGATTAGTTGAAATTTAATTCTTCAGTTAAAAACAGTATGATTAATTTGCAGCTATTATTTGCTGCAATTGTATGTGCCAAGTTCGATGCTTGTTATTGTTTCTTGGGTATCATTTTGGTTAGATCGTACCGCAATACCAGCTCGTGTCACACTGGGTGTCACCACTTTGCTCACTATGACCACTCAGGTTTCGAACTGTTTAATTTGCATGTAGATTAACCTGAATTTTAATTAACTATTTTAGGATAGTAACATTGATTTTAACTAAAATTATGTAAGAATTAATTTCATTAATTTTGCTAATTATGAATTTAACAATATCCTTATGTTATCCTTTTCTAGTAAAAAAAGATAAACGTATTGCAAAATTATATTTTTTTTAAGAAATTCATAAAATTTAATTTTAATTAAATTTTCAAAAAAATTGGAAGTAAAAATTAAACAAAACCAAAGCTGGCTTAAAAACTTTTTTAATTAATGAATTAATTTTTAAATTTTCAACATCTTATCATTGATTAATATTATGAAAGATTTTTTCATAATTACAGGCTTCTGGAATTAATGCCAAATTGCCACCTGTATCTTATACGAAAGCAATTGATGTATGGATTGGTGGTAAGTAATTAAAAATAATTTAGGAAAAAACTATTCCAATTATTAATTATGAAATTGTAAAGTTTTGTATCAAATTAAATGGATTAAAAGTATTTTCAAAAATTCAATAAACTAAAATATATTTTTAATTAAAAAAATTTTCTTAATATATCTCTAATATAGCTTTTTTTCAATGTATCAAAATTGATTAAAATATGATTTGCTTTATCATTCATATTTAATTATTATCAATTACTGTGTTCATTTACTAATTTACACTTGTTTGATTAGCAATAAAATGATAAGGTATTTACGTGAAGGTTTTATCTGAAACATTACGTGAAATTTGCAATAATATCATTCATATTTAAATATTATTAATTAATTTGCTTTAAATTAGTATTATTATTTAAATTTAAAATTTGCTTTAAATTATTATTTAATTTAATAAGTATTATTTAAATTAGTATTAATTTAGTATTATTGCAAACGCTAATTTACACTTATTTGACTAGCAATGAAATAATATTTACGTGAAGAATTTACCCGAAATATTGCGTGAAATTTGCAATAATACTAAATTACGTGCTTTTGCAAGAAATTAATGAAAAAAAAAACGACTTTACCTGAAATTAATGAAATTCCAATTAATATCAATGATGCCCAAATCATTTGATAAATTATTTCATTTCATCCATTTCATAGTAATTTCATTTATATGATTTCTTTTTTCTTCATCTCTCATCCATTTAAATCATACATTTAAAATATCTTTCTAAAAATTCTTTTTCGCATTTACTCTCACAAAACTATTATTATTTCACATTTTTTCCTTCCTCTTCCTCTCTTAAAACTATTATTATTTCTGATTTTTCCTTCTTCCTCTCACAAAACTATTATTACTTCACATTTTTTCCTTCGTCTTCCTCTCATAAAACTATTATTATTTCTCATTTTTCCTTCTTCTTCCTCTCACAAAACTTTTATTATTTCACATTTTTTCCTTCCTCTTCCTCTCATAAAACTATTATTATTTCACATTTTTTCCTTCCTCTTCCTCTCATAAAACTATTATTATTTCACATTTTTCCTTCTCCTTCCTCTCTTTCTTTGTATGTGAAAAAAATTTTGATTTTATGCTAATAATTATAAAAATTAAGAAATAATTGGAATTATTGCAGCATGCCTCACTTTTATTTTTGGAGCCTTATTAGAATTCGCTTGGGTTACATATATGTCATCACAAAATTATACCAAAAGTTTGTTTTCGTTTTCTCACTTTTTTTAACCTAAAATTATTTTAGGAAAAAAACGAACTAATATTTTATATTAATTTATTAATTATTTGCATAGCTATAATTACGTGCATATTTTGAAGTATTTTCATTCGTAATGAACTTTTGATTTTATTTTCAAAAGTAAAAAATTTTTAATTGCTATTTATTCATTTAATTGTCTTCATTTGCTTAATATTTATAAGACAAATATTTCCATTATAACCAATGGTGGAATTAATTTTGCCATAAAAATTTCACATACTATTACAATAATAGTTATTTAAATAGTAATATAAATTATCAGATGTTTAATAGATAATAACAATTAGAAAAAAAACTAATGATATTGATAATGCTAATTATAATAACTGATTGTGATAAAACTGATTATGATATGATGATTATGGTAAAATAAAAAAACGCTTAAAAAATAGCCTATATTGTATTCTATATTTAAAATTTATTTGTTCAAATTTTTGCAATAAGTTTGTAAGATTTTAATTTTTTCTTTTAAAAAAATTAATTAATTATATCAAAGAAAAAACAAACAAACAATAGAATACTAAAAATAAGGTAAATAAAAAAATAATTAATTGAAAGGTATGGAAGGAAATCGAAGGCCGAACTTATTGGTGGAAAGAAGTAATCAAATGGCAGCCGCACAACTTATCATTTTTAATAAAGATGCGGTAAAATTTTACTTTTAGAATTCATTTAAAACAATAAATAATTGTTATTATATTTTTGAAATTTGATTTCAGGTTTGATTTTAATAACAACTTCTCAATAGATTAATTTTTCGGATAATTTCGAATTTTTAATTAATTAATTAGATTTAACAAAAAAATATATAGTATTTTATGGTTTACAGAGAAAGCAAAAAAAAATCTTATTAATTTTGAAAATTTAATTAAATGAGAAATTTATGACAATAGCATAATTATTTACATCATATTGCAAATGACAAAAATCTAAGTCGATTCATTTTCTATTTTTCTTTAAATCGATATTTAAAAATAGTTTATAAATAAATGCTTGAGGGGTATAGATGGAATGTGGTGAGATATGGGTGAAGCAAAGGAATGATTCAGACGTAGAAAATGGTGAACGTTTTAATTTGATAAACAGTGATGGTAATAAATGGCGACGAATTAGGCGTAATCGTCGCACTCTGAAAGATTACTATCGACAATTTAGATTTATTAATTGGTTAGGAAGAAAATTTCATACTACCGATCGTGCCAAACAAGCTGACTATTTATCAAGTTTGTATTTGAATATTCGAACTATTTCAAATATCATTGATTTTTAATTTGCAATTATTCGAATATATTATTTTGAAGCAAATTAGGAAAGATATTCTGGCAGAAATATTAGTTTTGCTATTTCACTAAATTTTAAGTAAATAAATAATTATCAATTAGAAGATATAGTGAGATTGCTATGAACAAATAATGATAATAGATTATAATTTAATATTATCAGTATTGATATATTCAAAGTAGGGATAATTGAAATAGTAAAATGTTTTATGCATAAGAAGTAAGTAGCAAATATATACAATATGGAAATAATTAAAATGAAAACGAAAAATCATGGCCTGTTATAATAATTATTATTATTACAATAAAAATTATTGATGTTATTATTACTATTATCATTATTATTGTTATATTATAACAGTGGTAATAATAAACAATAACAATAATAAATAATAATAGTGATAGTAGCATTAGTTATAGTATCCATTTAAGATTTGATCAAATGGTATTTCTTTTAAAATATGAAAAAAAAGTTAATTTAAATTCAAATTAAAAAAATTAATGATCGATCACAAATTAATGATCTCATTAGTGTATTTGCCATTATAAAAATCTATGAGGAAATTTAGTTGTAAATAACGGAGCGATAATATAATAAATTAAATTAGTAATAAGAATTTAAAAGAAAATTTTTTCGAACAATTTTTTAATCAAATATTGATTTATTAATCTTTTGTTTTACCCTTTTCCATTCTTACTTTTCTTTTAATTAATCATTTTTTTTTTATTCAGGACTTATCTTTCCAGTACTATTCCTGATATTCAATTGTGCATATTGGTTGAATTATTCGCGTTATACGGTACCAAAACCATCATAATTATTTACTTATCAAATTTATTTACTTTCTTTTATTTCATTTGTTTTGTTCAAATTTCGATTTTCATTTATAAATTATACAAAGGTAAATTCAACAGGTTAAATATTTCTTCGATATTATTGCATATACATATTTATGATTGCAAAGTAAACAATTTTTGAAATTTGACAAAATTGATTAAATTAAATTTTTATTTCCTTCATTTTTTCTCTTGCGATCTAAAAGAGGAAAAGAAAATGTTTATTTATCTAATCGTTAAAATTTCGAAAAGTAAATAAATGACATTTGACAGATAAAATTTTTAGATTATTTGTGGTACAAATTCAATTGAAAGAAAACTTCGTCTTTTTCCTCTTTTTACATATGTCCGGAAAAATCAATAATTCATTAATTAAAAACTAGAAAAATCAATAATTCATTAATTAAAAACTAGAACAATTATATTAACATTTTAATTGTAAGATTAAAATCTGGAAAAATCAATAATTCTTAGACCTCAAGTAATTCATTCATTAAATCTTTTAAAATTTCATCTAAATCATCTTTTAAAATTCCATCTAAATTTTTAACAAAATTTTTTAATCCAAAAAAAAAAAAGAGAAAACAACAAGAAGAGAAGCTTCTTCAAAAAGGTTAACTAGCTGGACCAAATATACCACCTTTAAAAATTTGTGCCATAGCACTACCTTCCTCTTTCGTTGGTAATTGATTACCAAAAAGTGATCCTAACCAATCGACTTTATCAAGACGACCGCTTAATAAACTTCCCAAAAGATTGCTACCATCATCAATTGATGATGTTGTGGTTGTTGTATGTTGTTGTGTTATTGTAGCATCAGTAGTAGTAGTAGTAGTAGTAGTAGTAGTAGTAGTAATAATATTTTCACTATTATTAATCATATGAGATTTTGAATCGATTGTTTTTATCACTCTTATAACCTGAAAAAAAAAAAACAAAAGAAAATATAAATTAATGCCCTAAAGATAATTTACGGATATGAAAAAGAAATGAAAATAAATTTAGAAATTTTTGTAGAAAATAAAAACGATCAAATTATTTCCTTCAAATTAAATTTGAAAAAAAATTTTTACAATGAATTGAACATTTCAACAATTTTAAAAAGAAATTTTTCTTTAAAAAAAAACATTTTCATCTGTCATCTAACCAAATGTTACCTTTGGAATTCCTGTTCCTTCCACTTGTTCCACATTAATCAATTGTTCCTTTTCTATATCACTACTATTTCCGGATATCATAGTCACTCCTATTTCTTCAATTTTTTCTTCTGCTCCTGCTCCTGCTGCTGATGCTGATGATGATGATACTGATGATGATGATGATGATAATGATGATGATAATGATGCTGCTGCTGCTGCTGCTGATGATGATGATGATGGTGTTGATTTCCGTAAATGCCGATTACTGTTAATGAAATTTGCCTCTTCCGGAATGTCACCGATACTTTTAAAATCATCATTATCGCTATCATTGGGATACATTGTTTTTTGAAGAATATGTAATATATTATGAATTGCCGTTAATAATGTTGATACTAAAAAAGAAAATATCAGGAAATTTTCAAAAGAAAGAAAAATGGAAAAGTTATTTTTAGAGTGATAAAAAAAACATTTTAATTTTTAAAATGGATTTTAAAAACAATAAATTTTGATAACATAAAATTTTCGTAAAAAAAATATTAATTATATTAATAAGTAATTTTTCCTATTTTAAAATAATATAAATTAAAAATAAAAAAAGAAAGAAAAGAAGCGATAACTTACCTGGTAGATGAGTAGGTTGAGCATATATTGGTGGTAAATAACTATTATAATATGCTGATGGAATAGCTCGATAATTTGATGAATAATAAATCGGTGAAAGTGTCGGTGTAAATGATAATTTACCATAATAATTGGAATTATGATAATTGGTATCACTTGTCGTTGGTATTTGTGATTCTTTGGTTGTGAAACGAATTGATCGAGGAAATGGTACGATAGAAGATGGTTGCCGATTTGGTTCCGTATTAGCAGCTAACCATGAAAGTTTCGCTCTCTGATGATCATTTATTCCGGTTTTTAAACGAAATCCCGGTTTTATTTTAATTTTCGGTATTGAAAATGGAATATTTGATTGCTGATTTATATCATAACGATGATTTAAATCGTAATCCTGAAATGAAAAATTTAAAAAAAAAAAAAAGTTGAAATTATTGATTTAAAGAATATTCCTGTTGTTTGATTGATTTAAATTATTGATTGAAAGAATATACCTGATCTTAAAGAATATTCTTGATGCAAAAATAGCACATCATTTGTGCTTCGGTGGATTTAATATTTCTTCGTTTTTTCATTTCAAACATTTTATAAATAATTATATGTGCACACAAACTTAATTATATTATGACAAATAATAATAATAATAATCATAATCATAATCATAATAATAGTATCAATTTATAAATAATTAAATTTAAAAATGAAATTTTGAGTTTAATTTAATTTTAGTACGTTTTATTGCGTAGATGCGTATAGATCATATTACGAAATTTTGCACATAAATGATAAACTGTATTTGTATAAATATATTGAATTAAATTTTATTTCCTAAAAAAAAAAGCTTTCCAAATTAAGATAGCGATTAAGATAAATTAAGATAGCGATGAAGTTATCTATTTATTCCTCAGATCTACCATAAAATTGTTGAAAAAAATAAATTAAGATAATCAAAATTAAAATTATTAATTATTTAGGAACTAATTATTTATGAACTCATAATCATTTGAAAATTTTCTCTTTATTGAATAATTTTTAATAGTGATAAAAGTGAATTAGGTAGAAAATAAGTTGAAACAATTGATTAATTGAACTAAATGAATATTTCTTAATTGGATTAAAATTTCATCTTACTCTCATCGTGATTTTTTAATAGGTCAAAAATGCTCTTTCATTGATTTCCAGCGGTGGGAAGAAACATTTGAAAAACTTACATTGTTTTAAATTTAAATTTGTATTTAAATTTTCTATTGTTTAATAAGTTCAATTAAAAAAAAACAATGAATAAATTAGCTATAACAATTTATGATTTCTAATATTTTGTCTTATAATAAAAGATTATATTTCTTATCAGATTATCGTTTCGAATATATATGAATACATAATATAAATATGATAAAAGTTTAACTATATATAATGTAATTTTAACAAAAATTTAATTCAATTAATTTTTTCCAATAAATTTAAAAAAATAAAATTCAAAGAAAAAAAAACTAAATTAATTAAATATTCGAAATTTTAATTTTGGAATATAAAAATGAATGAGAGAGAGAGAGAGAGAGTAAAAGAAAAACAAATAAACAAATAAAACAATAACAATAATGTAACTTACCAATTCTCCGTAAATATTTGTTATATTGTTGAAAAATAATATAAGTAGGAAATTATTAATAGTACCAATAATCATAATTTAAAATACAAAAATGAATTTTTTAAAAAAAACAAAGCAATTAATTAATTAATTAATTATAAAAAAAAAATGTTTCAAAATAAAAATGAAACAACAATTGTTTTTCCTTTTTTTCTCTTTCTAACAATAATATTTCAACATGCTAATTAGATATGAAAATTGATTAGATCAAAGATGAATGAATTGTTGATTGAATGTAAAATGAAATGAAATAAATTTGATGAGAGGAATTAGTTGAACATTGAACAGTGATTGAATATTCCATTCCAATCCATTCCATTCCATTCCATTCCATTCATTCATTCATTCACATTTTGACGTCACATACATAAATGATGATTGGTGACAAAACAGGATTCTTATCATCTTTTAATTCATTCAAATGATTCATACAACTATCCATTTCTTCCTTCCAACTTAAAATTACTATTCGAAAAAAATTTCTATTTTTAAAATTACATATACACACATACACATACATAAACATACACACATACATATATTATATACGCATACAAACATACAAACATACATTTATATAATAATTTGTTGTAGTGCAGTAAAATTTTAAAGCTTAAAAGAGTGAAAATGGTATGTATATAAGGAGGGAAGAGAAACCTGTTTTACAATTCTACTTTTTCCTTCGTCATTTTTTCTTTTCAAAATTATTCGATCCATTCCAAAAACGCGTGTAAATTTATTCAAATTTTCTATAAGTAATTAAATAATTATATTAAAAAGAGCACGGTATATTTCGCTTTTTCTTCTCTCTTTTTTTTATTTTTAGAAAGAACAAAATGAATGAAATTTCTTTTTTTCATTTCATTAATAATTAAAAATATTAATTAGTAAATTAAAATATAATTTTAAGATAATGAATAGAATAATGAATAATTGATTTTTAATTAATTTCAATTAATGGTATATGTACATTTTATTCTATTACTATTGTGCAAGTATTTATAATGTACCTACGTACGTCATATTATAATTCATTGAAAGAAATGAAAAATGAAATTGTATATTTCCAAAAATATACCAATTTATGCGAAAGTTTCATTATTATGCTTTCGCTATTGGTTTTATCGAAATTTGAAAACATAAAAAGGGATGCGTTAAAATTTGAAAAAGACTTCATTAAATGAATTTTTTGCCAATCGAAATGTAATATCGTGTAATATTATGCAGTGCTACGATATCACTATGTTTATTCACATAACTACTGATGGTACCATATGAAATATCGTTGGAAACAATTCCAAAATTTCACTATAAACAATTTTTTGCAAATCTTCCGGTAGAACAAAATTCACATTGAAATGAGTTGTAGCAGTGGGAGGACCACCACCAGCTGTTGAAGCACCCGAACATGCTTCCATCATGAACCCTTTCACACATTTGAAAATTAGCTCGGCCCGTTTCATACACCAATTTGAAGTCATATACTATAATATGATATCATTTTAAAAAAGGATTGAAATTTGACAGGAATTAAATTTGAGAAAGGAGTGTAAAAATTCAAACGTAGCACAGATACAAATGTTATTTTTTGATTTCAAAAAATATTGAAAATTCTTGAGAAATTCGTGAATCCATAGGGACAAATTCCAAGCTATTCTCGAGAATTTTACCTCCTTTGCTTTCTCGGCAAGCAGTAAGGGTATGGTGAATGTCGTTACACCAAATTTAGCCGACAACCGGATAACGTTTCGTAATCCGTTGATGCATGGATGCCTCAAGAAGAAGAATTTAATATATTTCGAATATCACGAAAAGTTTTGGCTTAATAAATCTTGAAAATAGTGATAAATATGAGAACACTACCAATAAGTTTAATGATACTGATGTAGAAAATCAAATGCTTACTATTTTCAGCATAAACAATAAAATGTAAGCAGCAAGAGGATGATCATTCGAAAAAAGTACATTTTCACTATATTAAGAAGCAAAGTAACGAAATTAAAACACATTGTAAAATTTCTAATTATTTATGATTAACAAAATTCTGTCAGCTCAATGAATACGATTTATGACTTTTCGAGGAAGAAAAATTCTTTAAACAAAAGTTGCTTCCCTTACCTACTAGAAATTTCGTCTTCCAGCGATTTATCTACAACCAAATGATAGATAACCTGAAATTCATCATATTTTTAATTTCTTCAAACATCATAAATTTATCCCCTCAATTTTTGCAAAAAGGACAGTTAATTTATTAAATTCCTCAAACTCTATATCTTAAGTGCCTATAATATAAATGAAAATTAGAATAAGCCAATCTTCGCTATTCTATTCTACAGTAATAAACTGCCTATTTTTATGCCAAACAAACTATTTTTGTTTTAGTCAAAAAAT